TTGAAAAATTGTGCTCGTTTCTAAATGTTAAACCTTCCATTGTTTGGACTTAGAATATTTTTCACCAAAACTGTGTACTGGAAATGGGCAAGGGTGGAAGTCCTTGGGGCTGGAAGTCTGAGAGTTGATAGGAAGGGTAGAGTGGATGGCTGAGGGCTTGGGACTATCAGCATTAGAGCTCTGAGGATCCCATGTGGTCGAACGACATGGCTTCTTAATGTTCCATATTGCTTTGAGGTTAATTGTAGCCCTTATAAGATTGAGACTAAAAGGCTCCAAGAGGGAACTTTATATAAGGAGCTTGGAAGATGTTTAAGACTGGCAGGGCTTCCATGTAGGATGAGGCTGTAATGTAAAATCTCAAGATGGAGACAGATGTACCTTAAACTCTGGCAGTGTAAAATGGTCAAAATTAGGAGAAAGGTGAAGTGGCAAAGTACTACAGTTTTACAAATAGATATATATGTACAACAAGTTGTTCTGCTGGTTTAAATAAATGAGCATTTATTTCACTTGCAAATAGAAATTAACTGGTTATAGCAATAAATGGTGACTGTTTCACATACACACATAGCATTTTTGCAAGGTAATATTTTCAAATGAAACAAATTTCATGTCAGTGCTAAAGGTTTCTTACAAGGCACTCAAAGGCTTTTAGTGAAAAATATTGTTTTAGACATTAATTAATTTGGGAAACAGAATTTGTAAAAATTTAAACATTTTGGCCGCAAAAATAGTAGTTTTATGACTAAAAAATTTTAAAAAAATGGTTAAATGAAATGTTTCTTTCGTGCACAGAGTAAGGCCCTTAAAAGTGTTTTCAAAAATTGCATTTTTGCAGTAATGACCTTTCAGCACTGAGCCAACAATTTGCAACTTGAAGATTTGTGATAATTTTAAGTGAAAGACTTTTTCTAATGCTCTGGCAATGTGGACGTATAACTTGGAAAATACAAAATGCACACAGAATTTTGTCCAGGGAAAAACTTTCAAAGATGAACAAAGAAATTGACTGGAGCGGGATTTGAACCTGCAACCTCTGGAACACCGTACCAGTAAGCTACCAACTGAGCTATCCAGCCCTATGTCGGTGGTTCTTCCCATTTGTCAGTATCTCTGTTCGGGGGGTGAACCTGTTAAAAGGGAGGTTCAGAGCAGCCACTTGGTTGACTGGTGCTGGTATTTTGGCTGCCTGAATGGGAACACCATTCAATTTTTGAAAGCATGCAATAGTTTCAAGTTTTTAGTCCTCAAAAGAGCTAGTATCAAAGTGTCTAAAGTCTTTCCAAATGGTAATTATTTACAAATTTTGAATTACTTGTACATGTATAGCATCTTCATAAATGTAAACATGAATGTTTTTATATTACCATTAATGTGAGTCAATGCGTTACGATTCAAACAGTAGTCTTTCTTCTAAAGCAAAGTGACCAATTGTCTTCAATTTTCATATTACCAGGGATGAAATTTCTTAGCTTTTTAGCTGATCTGAGCTTTTTTTGTTTTGGATTTCAGCTTTTTCCCTCACCGACTGTGTACAAAAGTATAGGAGATTTTCATAGTTCAGCTTCTTTAGGCCTTGTTCTGGCTGTTTTCAGCTATTTTTATTATTGGTCAATCTCATCCCTGGATCACCACTTACGTCATGAATAATTTGGATGTACATTTAAGTACAGTGCAACGTCACTATACTGAACAATTTGGTATACGGAACATGCCTCTTGGCTTCCAATTTTCTGCGCACTTTTACTAACCATCACAAATTTGCTTTAAATAAAAAAAGAAAAAATTTTAGGACTGATGACAGTGACTCAAAAGTTAAGATGTCAATAACTCTGAAATTGGAACGGCCATATTATGAGCTCATGGCAAAACAGGCAGTGGCACAAGAGAATCTGTTTTACACGAACAAGAACACCCACGGATGTACATGTATGTGTAACAACTGACATTTCAACATAGGAAATAGCACCCTCTTTATTCTGCAAATGGCACCCTCTCTGTTTTGGCAAATAGTGCCCTCTTTTGCCAGGACTTTTCCCCCATTTTTATGGAAATCAGAACATTTTGATTTTTAGGCCTTTGAAAATGCGACAATTGGAACAATACCAATGGAATTGCAATAAATGGGGAGGTAGGCTACACCAAGCATTGTGTATGGACCCTGCCTGTTCATTATAGCAGCATTGTACCGGTACTGTATACCAATATGTGTCTGAGTTTAAGACATTTTGAGAAAAAGTGGCGAAAAAATAGTGGACCTCTTACCATTTTAGGTTTTGGGAAATTGTGAAGCTGTTTTTTTTCTTAATGTCCTGACAACCACAAATGTGATTTTTTTTTTGTATCATCATTTTCACAGATAATTATAAAAATGTGTGATTTGAGGGAAGATTTTCAAACAGATACAAGTCAGACATTGCATTATTTTACTGAATAAAAAGGGTCTCGACAGTTACATGTACTTTTTTCGTGCTGAGATACATCTTGAAAGTGCTTCATTTCTGTGATTCAGAATCACAAATAGTGCCCTCACATTACCAGAATATACTCATAAACAGTGCCCTCACATTACCGCGATATCATTCTAACTCATAAACAGCGCCCTCACATTACTGTGATAATCTAACTCATAAACAGCACCCTCACATTACTGTGATATCATTCTAACTCATAAACAGCGCCCTCACACTACTGTGATATCATTCTAATTCATAAACAGCGCCCTCACATTACTGTGATAATCTAACTCATAAACAGCACCCTCATATTACTGTGATATCATTCTAACTCATAAACAGCGCCCTCACACTACTGTGATATCATTCTAATTCATAAACAGCGCCCTCACATTACTGTGATATCATTCTAACTCATAAACAGCGCCCTCACAACACTTGGTTAAAACTCAATTTTTATACATCATTTTCAGGTCCTGGACAAGGTGCTGACCAAATTTTTTTTCATTTAGCATGAGTTTCTTGTTTTGATGCCAGAAAATAGCCAAATTAAATGATGCGCATTTTTTGCGACATGAATACCATTTATTTAAATTATTAATTACTATGTATGGTCCATTGATCCTTTGAGTAGTGTACAAATGCAGATAGACTTGCTCCATTACTAAGGTGGAAGCAAGGAACTGCATCTCTGAGAAAATTGAGTCCATTCCTTGCCTTTTTGTGAATCAATGCCTAAGATTCTGATGAGGATCCCTTACGCAATCTTGGAAGCTGTTCCTCCTTGGTGATGGAGGCGAGGACTGGCATCTATCTGAGTTACTTCCTGTCCTTGACATTCTCATGAATCGTCTCTGTGAAGTTCCATAGGATCTTGTCCTCCATCTCCCTTCTGTCCAGGTTGAAGGAGGCGAGGGCGCCCTTCTCATCAGCATCATGGTCTGCTTCTCCTGGGGCATAGCCACAGCTTTCATATGAGGAGGTCTGGGGAAGAAATTAATCACAAAAGGAAATAAATTGCAGCAGAAATTGAGACATTTCTTCAAAACTTATAGAATTTTTGTACGCTCCTTATTTTTACTACTTTTATTTCATAACAAAACTGTTAGTGCCTACTGCTTTCATCCATTTTCATGTCAGAAAATGAACTATGACAAGGGGATGATTCCTTTGACCCATTACTTCTGAAAACATTTGTGATTTGTACTCTTTGTTGAAAACATTTTTCCAGACAACCCCTTAAGGTTTAGAGAATCAAAAAGTGACATTGTTGAACACTTGGAATTGTCTTTCCCTTTTCCTAACAAGTGAGGGTGCTGTTTTACAGCAATACTGTAACGTCAATCAGGGAAGACCACAAACCTAAAATATCTATGACCAACAGCTCCTCCAGAAATCAATGACTGATCCCGAAAGTGGGGGCAGAAATATTTCAACAGTGTGCACAAGTCTGTTGACTTGGATACAAATCAGAAATTTTGGATGGTGACTGAAGATACTGTTGTCTTTACAGCGTGGTCCCTTTTTGTGTTTTGGTTCAACATTTGTCAAAATTAGGGTAGATCTTTCTTAAATAAGAGCTCTGAACACTTAAATTTTGTCCATATTCACTGCTCACCTTCAAAAACCCTGAACAAATCCCCATAAGGTATGTGATTTTAATTTTTAGACTTTATTTTTGAAATGTTTTGGAACACAGTTCTCGGTGCTCTATCAGATAAAACTTGAGAAAAAATGTTAAATTTGCTTTTCAAAATATTCACTAAACAACAGGGATGTCAGGAGTTTATCTGAATTTCACATAATGAGCACCTTGGCTTCTACTAATGGCTTGTAATAATAGGCAATATTATGAGAAAGAAAAATTGAACTATGCTGGGTTAGAACTTTAATCAAAAGACTAACAGGGCCAAATAATGTTTGATGGACAGTTGCCAAAGTTGCCCCCAAGCTATCTTCTTTGATGTAGAGCAGTGCTGAACAGCAAATCATGAAATCCCCGGGAAAAGGCAGCCATTTGCTCATGGTTATTAAAAATGAAGACTTTCCTTAAATTATGCCCCTGCTGTCGG